CACACACACACACACACACACACACACACACACACACACACACACACTCTTCCTTAATTCTGCTTACACCTGCAGTGTGGTAATTTTTTTTTCTGTACCTCCATCCCCATAAGTCTTCCTCCCTTTATTCCCATGTTCACCATCATCGTTCTGGTTGAAGACTGAGGTCAAGAATTCATTTCCTTTTAGGGTGATACTTTGCTTATCTTTTCCATGTTTGGCACACGGAGAACACACTTTTTCATCTTTCTTTGTTCTCGTGTTTTTGTTTGTTTGTTTGTTTTGATTTGTTTTTTACACAGCTGGGAAAAAATCATTTTAAAGTTCTCTTTGTTGTTTCTAATTCTGATTTATGGCAAACTTCACTTTGCCCCTACGCTTCTTGACATTTATGAACTTTTTAAAAAGCAACAGCATCTCACAGTTCACAGGCTAAGAGGAATGCTTCAGTTCTCACTCATTTATTACATACGCCACGCTATATCAGTGTAGAGACCTTACCCTTCATTTAAAGAAATAGCAGTTAAGTTGTGGCCAGTTAAAGCCAGTTAGTTAACCTCAGCAACAGCTAGAACAGAAATGGCCTTGTAATTGTACTTTAATTAAAGGTGTTATCTCAGGTTCAGCTCAATAATCAAGGATGCCATGGCAATAGCTATGATACTAATGGATGTTAAAACAAAATATTTTTTTATTTAATTCCAAACTGAGCTGCATCTTATAACAATTTTCTTTGTCCTGCATACCATGAATTACACTTCATCCCCTGCAGCAGAGGTTGCCAACCCCCAGCATGCATGCCATTGATGGCACATGGAGACATTTTCTCCAGCACGCCAGAAGGTGAGCAAGGAAATTATTTTTAAAACATTTTTTTAAGTTGCTGCTCTGGGCTCTCCGGAGCAACCACAGGTCCCAGGGCCATGGCAGGCACTGGGGGCAGAGTCAGGAGAACACAGGCAGGGACATGGTATGTGTTTTTCTGACTCCACCCCCTGCCCCTGGGCTGTGCTCTCCAGCCCTACCTGGCCCCTGAAGGCTCCCACCAGGTGGGCAAACCCAGGGCCATAGGCAGCAGAAGTGGGGGCTAAAGGGGCTCATTCCCCTGCAAACACAGGGCAGCAGGTAGGGCTGTAGGGCAGCCTGGCCGCAGGCTGCT